CAGCAGGAAGAGTTCGGAGGTAAAATTAAATCCCGAATGCAGAACTTGCTGGGCTCCCTTTGGTCATCTGATGTTTTCCGCATTTGCGTTTTCTCAAGTTTGTATAACCAGGTGCCCTCTTTAGAAAGACCTACCCATCCCCATCAGGGGATGTCCTAGGGATAGTTCTGCTGGTTTTTGCTTCCTGCTTCTCCCTCTCTCTGTTTTACTGTTGGTGTTTCATCTCCTCAAGCATGGACTAAAATACTGGAGCTGCCTCAGTGCAGTGAGCCAAAAGTTCAGCTGTGCTTTTGAAACAGCATTTGTGTTTTCATCTTCAGTTCCTCTGTGGTAATGGAGAAGGCAAACACCAAGAAATTGCTGTGTAAACAGTCAGGTTCTTGTTGTGTGGTTTGGAAGGGAGGCTCTGTTGAGCCAACCTTGCAGAGGGTATTTTTCAAGTTGTGGTGCTTCTTTGGTGAGAAGCAATTCCTGCGAGTCCTGCAGGTGATAGGAAGGTTTTGAGGCTTAAAAATTCACTTAAAATCAGGTGGGGAAAAGAAATCAGAAATGCTCTGTACAGTGTGATTGGATATCCAGGGTAGAAGCTCATTATGAAGGAGATGCTGGACTGGTGGCTCACCAAGTGCAGCCTTGCAGAGCCTTCTTGCAAGGCATTTGTGCTCCTGCCACTTGTTTGGTGGTTCATGAAAAGCAGCTGTCATGGTCTCGTCAAGCCTTTGGAGGCCTGGTGGTTTTGCTTCTTTATAAAATGTTTCATAACTCAGTAACTAGTCGGAGTGGGGGAGTGTTCAGGACTTGTCTCTGCTTCTGCTAGAAGACAGAGATATGTCTGCTGGAGCAGAGACTTTATTTGGTCTCCTGCCAATCACCTGCTGGAGTTTATGGGACTTTGTCTTCATTTTCTATTCCTTTAGCCCTGCTAGAGGTTCACTGCTTGTCTCTGCATTTTGAGCTTTAAATGGTGCATGAATATAACTTTCCAAGGCTAAAAAGGGTCTTTCCTGCACAGCTTTCAGAGTGGCTTCTGAGTTTTTCCAGCTAAATTGCCATGTTCATCTGCAGAAGCTCAGGAATAATGCCCTTCAAAATCATGAATTTGCCTTAACATGTCTTGCTATTACTATGTCCCAGTCCTCGTCAGCTTAGTACCTTGGTGCTGAGGAAGGGGATTAGCCTGGAGAACGTGCGCTCTGATGGAAGTTCCCCCTTAGAAAGATCTGCTGAAGAACTGAAACTCCCACTCTTCCTTTGTCCTGCAATGCCTCTTATTCCTTCTCCTTTTTTATCTTCTTCATAAAAAATACAAAGCTTAATGATTTTTTTTTCTTTTAAGGACAGGGTATGTTAAAAATAAGCAATTACATTTTGTAGACCTCTGCTGTTGGCTGTGTTTGTTCTAATAACATTAGAAGGTGAAAGTAGAAGTTCTGGATTGCGAGGGTCCAGGCAAGAGAAGAGCTTAGAAAGAAAAAGATGACCTGACATAGTGAATAATTCTAAGAAACTGAAACTGAAGATTGAGCGGAAAAGTGGAGTTACAGCTGAACATTAAGTTTATCCCCATAGCACATGCCTTTTTTCAAGACTGTTTTGGACCTGGCTAGACAAAATGAATGGAAGGGCAAAAGGTGGTGAATGTCTCTATCCTATTATGAATAGGAGGAAATTACTGTCTGTAGGCTGAACACTGGTGAGCTCCAAGTATCCTGCTGGCAGTCTGGTTGATGCTGTAGGATACTGAACAAAAAGTGTTGAATTGCCTTTTTTGGGTGTTTAAAATAACTACTAGTGATCACAGTTCTTTAAAAATGTGTTATGGGTTTTCTACTGGTCTTCTTAGTTTAACTGGAAACTTTCTGCTTTCTTTCAGGAGCATTTTTCCTTCGAAAACTTTGCTGCTACAAAGCTCCAAACAGGAGAAGTAAATCCAGTCAGCTTGTCGAGGCACTGGCTTGGTGTAAAAGTGCTTTCATGAGGTAACGTTGGGCCAAAGTCAACTTTTCCTTCTTCTTTGTAAACCTGCAGCCAAGCAATGGGCCAGAAAATCTCAGGGAGCATAAAGTCTGTGGATGTGAGGGAGCCCCCCTATAGACCTGTTAAACGAGAGCTGAGAGGCCCGGATTTTTGCAAACCTGCGCGCTTGGACATGTTGTTGGATATGCCCCCTGCCAAGCTGGAGGTCCAACATAAACACGCGTGGAACAATGAAGATCGGTCTTTAAATATATTTGTAAAGGAAGATGATAAACTAACTTTTCACAGACACCCAGTTGCCCAAAGCACAGACTGCATCCGGGGCAAGGTTGGCTACACGAGAGGCCTGCACGTGTGGCAGATCCACTGGCCCACGAGGCAGCGAGGAACCCACGCCGTGGTGGGTGTCTCCACGGCCGAAGCTCCTTTGCACTCGGTGGGATACACGTCGCTGGTTGGCAGCAACAGTGAATCGTGGGGCTGGGATCTGGGACGCAACAAACTTTACCACAACTGTAAAAACCAACCTGGGATTACGTATCCTGTCTTTTTGGAACCGGACGAGTCTTTTGTACTCCCAGACTCCTTACTGGTGGTTTTGGACATGGATGAAGGGACGCTTAGCTTCATGGTGGACGGACAGTATCTTGGAGTGGCCTTCAGGGGATTGAAAGGGAAAAAACTTTACCCCATAGTCAGTGCAGTTTGGGGGCACTGTGAAATTACAATGAGATACATCAACGGACTTGACCGTAAGTGCTACCCAGCTTTTTCCTTACGCTGTCTTTCAGTTATTCTCGGATTGGGTTTTTTCTTTATCTTCCTGTTCTAAAGTACATGTGCTAGGAGGGAGTCAGTCCTACGTGGGTAACGGAGTTACTGTGCTCAACTAAGCTCTATGCAGTATGTCCCATCATGACAGTATGGGTTGTATCAAAATATATCCTGTTCTGAGAACTTTCTGTTTTGGCAGAGTTGCTAGAAATCTGTATCCAAAGACAATGAACAGGCTGAAGTGGGGGAGAAAATCTTGATGAAGTTCCTAGATGTCTTTAACTACAAAACTCTTGTTTACTTGAGGATGTGTTTTAAATCTGTGGTTTTCAACCTTCTTTGATTTGTAGATGTTATAAACATTTCACACAGTAGTGAAGTCTAACATGGTTTTAATGTTAGCAGGCTTGAACCCAAGCCAGTGGACTTTTTTTTTTTTTTCCCCAGCTCCGAAGCAGCTCTGGATCCCTACAAATCTGGGATCTTGGGTTCCCAGGTTTTCTGTTCCTCAGACCAGCTTGGATCCAGTAGATCCATCCTGCTGTACCAAAGAGTCAGGAATAGCTGAGCCCTGGCAATTCTGCATGAATCAAGTCTCGTTTGCACATGTGTTTCCAGAGCTGAGCGCTGCACGGTTTAGCAGAGAGATGATTCAGTAGCTCTGAGCAGTCCCACCGGGTCTGCTGCTTGCAGCAACGCTGAACTAGTGATGGCATCACATGCAGGTCTGAACACTACATCTGTCTCCCAAAACGCACAGCTCCCAAAAAGTAAATAGGTTTGAGCAGAGAACTTGGCTTAATTTGGACCCTGTAGGCAGGGTGGGGAGCACGGTGTGGAGGTGGAAGAACAATGCAAGAGCCAGGTCTGTCTAGAAGGGGCACAGTTAACGGGTCTGTCTGGGCCTGATTTTTCCTCTTGCAAAGACCCTGGAGCACTTCCAGTTGTAACTGCCAGGGTGTCTTTATCTGATGGTTCTCATTATTCCAGCTGGGAGTTAATTGTCGGAATGGCTGGCACAATTAGGCTACCCAGAGGCCAGGGGGCTGAGAGATTAAGAAAGATGCAGCTGCGCCCTGAGGCCTCCCTCCTCTCCCACTGTGAATTACGGTGTAGGAGGCTGAACAAGGTGCTCAGAGGAATCCTCCTCCTGCTAAATACTCTGTCAGCTGAGCTGCTGAATGAACCAAATGTGTAAACACTTCGACCAAAGGAGCTGGCTGCACAAAATTTTTCTTCGTTTTCTTTATGAATGGAATTCAGTCTTGTAAAGAGAAAACCCAAGAGCAAGTGCACAGCACCTCTGCCTCTCAATTAGTAGTTCTTAAAAAAAAAAAAAAAAAAGCCCTTTTGCTATTTTTCTCAATTATAATGGGATGCTCATTTTTTTCACATCAAAGTTAATTCTGTGCTCATTAAGCATGCCTCTGACATACTAGCCAGTGTAAGACCATAATTGCGAATTTGACCTTGTTTAAGATTACCTCTTGATGAAAATCTGCAATTGGCTCTGGAGGGGAGGGGGATTTGATCCACGGGATCCTTACAAGGTCGCTACAGCCACAGGTTGGACGGCAGCCGCCCGAGCAGCTGAGGATCAGACCTGTGGGGCCGGACGTCTGCGCGGGCGCTGCGGAGAGGCTGGCGGGGCGGTCCGGCAGCTCCCGCGGAGGGTGCCCGGGAGGAGCTGCTCTGGGAAACGAATAGTTCTGTGTGGAAGTGGCTTTCCCCATCCCGGGAGCGTGTCCCTGTCTCGGACAGGCTGTGCTGGGCTGCTCCCAGGAGCACCAGGAAGGTGGCAACAAAAGGGATGTGGGTGAGCTTGATGGAACATACATGATAAAAGGGGCTGCATGAAGAGACAAACTCTCAGCTGTGGTCTGAGAGATGGCAAGAGAGAAAAATATTTTCCTTTTTTTTTTTTTTTTTTTTTTTTTTTTTTTTTTTCTTCAGTGTGTTTGAGAAAGATAGGGTCACTTTCCTCTGGGAAAGGTGGCCCAGCCGCTTCTCGGTACATATCTGCAGCAAAGAGAAAACCTGGGAACTAGAAGTCTGTGCAGGCCTCGCCCGGCAGGCTCGTGTGAGGAGGAGGTTTAACACCGGTTTGCTCTGATTTGTCTGTGTTTATATGTTCTAGAAGCAGAGCTGTGAAAAGTCCCCAATAGACTGATGTAGCTGGTTGTTATTGCAGGGTCTCCAGAGACTCGGTGAGGAATTCCACGTTTGCTGTCCAAACTGTTTGCGGTGTTAGATATAAGAAGGAAACTGGGAGCTGAGCAGTGCGACTAGTTTGGGCTTTGTTGTTCTTCCCCATCAAAGAAAGCTCTTGTAAAGGAAAGTGTGCTCACTGTAGAGATCTTTGATTTGACCTTTAGCAATGCACTGTACTTCTTACCCTGTTTTTCTTGGAAATATCAGAGGCAGCTTCCCTTTTTCTTGTCTGGCAAGAAATATGTGTTCATTTTCAATGGTGTGTTTTAACAACCAGAAAAATATGTCTGTGTTATACGTAATCACTTCCATAATTACTTAAGCAGGTATCAGATACTGTTTTCCTTTGCTCTGGCATTCTCTGCTGCTCCCATGTTGCTAAGAACAGTCTCCTGTGTAACAAGCCTGGCTGGGCTGCAGGGAGCCTGTGGCCCTTTACCTGGGAACGGAGCGACTCTCTTGTTTAAACTGTTGTCAGAGCTCAGCTTTCCCACGTGGGCTGAACCATGTGTGTGTAGGATTATATTTAGGCAGCTGAAGTAACTACTTTGCTGTTAAAATAGTGAGGTGTTTCCTGTTGCAGGGGAAAAAAAGAAAAGATTTTGTAAAGTTTAGCTCATTTGAATTGCTCATGGATTCAAGCAATACGTATGGCTTTAAAAATTCTGCCTGAAAGTCTTCCAAAAATGTCACTGGCTACTCTGGGAAATAGCGAAGCCCTGTGTAAAAGTGTGTGTTAGAGATGATGGCTGATAAGTTAGGCCTCGTTCATTTGAGTGAAGTGGTGGGAAGAGGCCCTAAGTGCTGCAGTGGGGCATTTAGTCACTGAGTAAATGGGGTGTGGGGGCATCTTTTTGTCCTTCAATGTTCCTGGCAATGGCACAGTCAGATTCTGGAGTTTCAGAAGTGTTGAGTCCAGCTGTGTCTTATTTTGAACCACTATTGAAGAGAAACTAAGACACTGTACGTTATGGATAGTATGACCTGTAGGTATAGGATGTGGTAATGCAACTCAGAGCTGCCAAACTGGGGATTTAACGGCTTCCTGGCAGAGAAGCGCTGCAGAAAGGTTGTTCAGTCCTAACTGTAAAATACTATAGAAATAATTGAAACAAACGTTGTTCCTGTAACTGAGTGCTGGCAGGGTGATTTCTTGAGGAAGTTCTGATTTCTGTGAACTCTCTCACGTACGTAAGTCAGCAGCGGGCACTTGAAGAACCATCTGTAGATGTAGATGTGCGTCAGTGCTGGCCTCCCAGCGCGGCTCAAAGGCGCCAGGGATGTCTCAGTTTTTCCCCTCCTGTAGCCTGTGCCTTCTCAAGGTGCAGTGCAGGTTGCTGCAGCTGCTGCGCTCGAGTGGGAAACGTGCAGCTGCCTCCTGGACGCGGTCTCCGTGCGATGGCCACAGCTTCAGAGAAAGCAGCAGGCTGCCAAACTCTTGCCTCACTTCTTGATTGTTAAGAAAGCACAAGTCAGTGTTCCAGTGAGTTCTGAAATGGTGAGCGAGAGACAAAATTCAAGTTTTTTAAAATTACAACATATTGGGTAGATTGTAATAACAGAAGAATAAAGAATTGCAATCTCCACCCTTGATTTATACCTTTCTGCTTCTAAATCCTGAAGGCTTTCCTTGGAGACAGGAAAATTTGGCAAAGTTTGGGGCTAGTGCTGCCCGACCAACTGTTCTGCAGTCATAACTGATGTCCAGCTGAGCCATGTTCTACCCTTAAAAATTATTCTGTCTTTCTAAGTTCCAAGAAGAATAACTCATGTTTTGGTAGAAAATAGGCTGCAAAACTTTTTTTTTTTTTTTTTTTTTTTTTAAGAGAAACAATAGTAGCCTGATAACTTCCTTAGTCCCTTCAGGGTCTTTTCCATTCAGAATTTAGCCTTCTGGCCCAAAATTAATGTTTTGATAGATCCAAGAAATAAATTTGAGATGTTTGGGATGCTTCTTGCTTTTACCCTTGAATCTCATGCTTCTGAACACTTTAATTTCAAAATAGTGTCTTAACTATAGCAGACGTTCTTTCCTTCATGCAGCATTTATGGGTTTTTTGCTCCTTGAGTGCCAGAGCTGGGCAGTCTCTTAGGGTCCTTGCTCTGGTCCTTGTGTAGCCTTTGGGCAGGTCTTCAGGTGAGTCTCATGTGGAGCTTCGGGAGCAGGGAGCACAGGATTCCCCTCAGGAAAGATGGGTAATTAGCATTACATACTGTCTAGTAGTAATGCTACTTTATGGAAGGCAGTTGTGAGTACAAACTCACACTTTAGCTGGAAGATCTTTATTTTGCAGTATTCAGTACGTATCAACAAAGATCCCGTGGTCTCTATGAACCTGCCTCTTGACCTGCAGAAAGCTCCACCTGACGCAGACCTTTGCATGTGGGTTGTCTTCAACATCTGTAACTACTTCCCTCCCCAAATGAAACAGCAGTAGTTGCAGCCTAATTGTACTTGCTTCAAATCCGTGTGCGGTGAGTGCATCGGAGGAGGGGAGCAGATCTCCAAACAAATTCTGGAGTCCTGTTTTTACTTGCGAAGAGCCTGTAACGTAGCTGCAGTGTAAACGTAAACTGGCCAGCAGCTGGAGAACAGGGATTCTGGCTGAGTGTTAAGGGTAGCACCTCTACTTCTATGGACACTGGGGAACAGGAATCCAGGTTTTGGGTTGTGGGCTTCACCTCCAGCTGTGCCCGGATCCGCCGGGGGAAATGCGGTCGCCTTCGGCTCTCGCTCAGCCACCCGGCGTGCAGAGATGATGAATCT